AAATACATACATACATATGTGTACACACATTCATCACTAAAAATAGGTACATACAGAAATATACATACACACATACATATACATATATATATATACACACACACACACACACACATATATATATACATATATACACACATTTACATACATGCACACATATATACACATACATACACATATGTATATGCATATATATACACACACAGAAATAAATATAAATATAGCAACCTACACAGTAACACACACATATATATATATATATATATATATATATATATATATATATATATATATACACACTAACATTATTATCCAAATGACTATAAAAGAGTCCATCCAAGATTAAAATGTAACAAAACACAAATGTTGATAATAATCAACAGTTATGTTTTGTTACATTTTAAAATCACTATCAAACAAAAGTAGATTATAGTTATCATAGATAATTACTTCAAAAACACTAAGATATACACACACATATATATATATATAGATACACACACACATATATATATACGCACCCCCCCCATTCATATACAAGCTCATGAATATATAAATATGCACATACATAACAACCATAAATACAATCATATATGCATACACAAAGATATAACTTTTATATATATATATAAGTGCAAATACACCCCCACATATATATACATATATATACATACACACATATATATATGTATACATATATACATGTACATGTAAATACATATATACATATATATATAAAATTCACATGCACATATATACATCTATCAATAAAAATACACACACATGTGCACACACAAACAAACAGCATAGTAAATGTATACATACATATATCTAGATAGGAGGATTAGCAGATAATATAAGCAATAACATACTAAAATTACTATAACATTGCATTATCGTCAAAAATATTACTACTCCTATAATAAGTTAAATTTTGAGCTATGTTTACAGTTAACAGTGAGTTCATTCCTTTGATTTAAGAGATGGATCTTGTCTTTAAATCTAATGATTTCAAATTTTTCATTAAGACAAGGGGCATATAGAGAATTACACATTGGAGCTCTCTTGATTAATTTCCATTTAACAATAGGTGTATTGTTTTTCTCTTTTAAACTCCCAAAATACTTGTAGTTATGATTACTACTGGTGAAAGATTGCACATGTCCATGCCAATGTATTCATAGTACTTCCAATGTAAATTTTTTTTAATATTGTGATTTTTCTAGTGTAGAAATTAGAAAGATAAACTAGAGAATTAGTTAAACAATTATTCTTTAATGGGCAATTATTTCTACAATTGCACAAGTTATTATTAGTGGCATTATAGTTAGTTTTATTTGTTGAAACCTGGTGAGTAGTCAAGTTTCTTGAGTCCCTATACTGGTTGAAGACTGTTATTATGTTTCTTAATTATTTTTCCAGGTTATCAGCACAACTGTAGCTTAATTTAAGGGTATTATAAGTGAATATTTTACTGAGTGGATTAGTTTCAGAGTTGGGGAAATGTTTTTTGATAAGGTTTACAAATTTATGTCCTAGTTTGGTTTTAACCCTTAGGTTGAAAGGGAGAGTAAATCAAATGATCTTCCTGGATCTTCTTTTCTTACTGTGGTAAGGATTGTAGCCACTATTTCTAAGGGCAGAATTATAAAATTCACTATGCTTATTAAAAACCTCTTTGTTAGAAGAGTTAGTACTTATCCTAAAATCTATATAATCCTACGCTACCAGAATCTAGGCATTCAAAGGCACTTAAATTGTATAAAAGAAATAATCCCATCAAGTCAAAGGCTTCAGCAGAATCTAAAGAATCCATTGAGATGTCAAAATTATCACTGGAAGTCTTTTTGGTCCACTGTTCTTCATTGTAAATCAGAACAGAATTTCGGCATTTCAAGATTATATCCATTTCATTCTCAGAAATATTAGAGTATTCCTGAGCAAACTCCAAAGCCAAAGTAAACAGATCTTTAGATATGGAGGGGGATAGTAGTCAATAATATCGAACTCTATGAAAGTGCAGTTGTCCTTATTTTGGATACCATTAAACCAGTTGGTAACATCTGTGGTATTAATCCACTGAAAGAGTCTAGGGGTAATTTTAATGGATTGGTTGTTTTTTCTTTCCAAAATGGTTTTGATTTTCAATTTTATTGTAAAATTTAATATTAATTAGAATGATTTCTATTTTAGTTTAACCCTAACATTAAGGCATTAATTATTATAAAAAAGGTTCGTTGTCAAGTTTTTTGAATTCTCATATACTTGTATTTTGATTGGTCATTGCAGCTTATGTAACAGCATTTTCCCTATTGAAAGGTGTTTGGTCAGTTTGAACCTTTTAAAACCCTTTATTCTACATTCAACACCATCACTTGATAAGACAGCAGAAGTGTTGAAACAAAATGGCTATTTTTGTAGTGATTTTATAACATATTTATGCTATAATTTTCGAATAAGTTATATATATATATACACACACACAACTCAGATGAAATAAACACATACACAACATCAAATGAAAAAAGCAATGATGTTTAAAAGATGTGACAGTATTCATTTTCAACAAAGCATGAAGATAAATGTTGTCCCTGAAGCACTCTGTCCTAGAACTAATAGATCTAAAATATCACCCAGATCAAACAAGTCGTACCATTTCTGTTTTGCTGCAACAGTGTGAATTAGAAATGTCCTCCAAGGAGCTGATTATTTTCTAAGTAACATCTGTAACTGTTTTGATTGTCCTCCTGTATATTACCGACTAGCTGGCATATCAAACAGTGATGGGGTCGTTTACTAATCAGCAAATCAAGAATGTTGACTACTATTTTTAAAAAAAGATCAAATGGGCATCAATTATAGCCAATAAAGATCTCAAATTATTTTCTCATAAATATGAATATATTATATAATTTATAAAAAATTTATTTTTACTACTTTAAAAATGTTAGTCTTGAATTAATCATCTAGGTTTTTTTTTTCTTAGCACATGTTCTTTTGAGTGAAGTGTATTTTTATGAAGGCCAGACAGTTTGTGTAAAAAATTGTTACATTTGTATATCTTTTAATTGCTGAGCCAAAGCTCAGCAGTTAAAAACTGCCAAAATTGTGAAGGATCCATTTTATAGCTTATGGAAACTTATTTTTTTGTATATGCTAAGCAATAAGAGATATGGCCTAAAGCCCTTGTAAGAACCTGTATGGGGGCTTTGTGAGCCTATTTTTCCAAATATATAGAACGCAGTTCAGTGGAAAAAAGAAGACTTTTTGACAAAGGGACAAGGCAAATCAATATCAAGGAGCAGAAGGTATTTGACATCAGAAGACACATGGTTACAAGCCAGCTTCAGAGAGACTAAAGAATTTTGAAATTCAAGAGAAAATTCTCCTGTTGGACAACAAAGAATGGAAAAGAATTCAAAGAAATTTTCCCAAGCAAGAACAGTGATTTTAAAAGGAACTTTTAAAAAATTACTATATGGCCCAGAGATGCTTGTGGGGCAAGTAAAAGTAGGTGTTTTGGTTTTTCTGAAGTTGCACCTTTATTTTTCTGCTTCATTGAATTGTTTTCTCTTTTTGTCATTGAATTCTTGTCTGTAACCCCTGTTTTCCATTTTTCAATGGTAATCGTTTTATCAGAAATTGTTATCCCGCCTTAATAAGTGCACAAAAGGAGATTTTTGTACAGACTTTATATTTGTATCATTTTCATAATTGTTGTGTAAATAGTTTTCTTTTAAAATTTTATGCAGTGATATTTGTTATATTTTGAACAATGGTGTATATACCCGTATTTCTGATTTCAGTAGTAGATATTCCGTTTTATTTTAAAAAGTGTTTATTTCTTCGTCTACCGGCCTGAACATCCGAGAAAACTTTAAGGTAAAGAAATGTGCCCTCCGGCGGGATTCGAACCTGCGTTTGCAGACGGACTAAATGCGGTAAAATCGATCGTAATCAAATACAGGTAAAAAAAAAATAAAAATAAACAAAAACAAAAACAAATAAAAACATTTGATTGAAGTAAAAATGTCGGACTAAAAAATAAAATTTATTTTATTCTTTAGAGAAATTGCTCAAGTATAGCAAGCATATCTTGCAGACTCTATCAAATTTGGTTCTCCAGAACTCGGGGCAGACTACGCTAAACTTTCTAACTATTTTGAGTACCCTGCTGTTTACTACTTACAGCAATAGAATGATACCCAACAAAAGTAGAACACACAAGAAGCAGAAAAAATGTTTGTAGGCCCCAATAAAAAAAAAGAAAGAATGAGAGTGTTGCTTTTTTCAATGTCCGCCAGATTGATGTAAAAAAAAAAAATATTAGGAATATCTCAAAACAAAACTAGACAAAAATGATTTCTATTTTACATGTATGTTTGGGAAGATACGTATGAATTTTTACGTCATAGTTTGACAACTAGACAAAAGTTTCAACGTATTAACAACCAAGGATATACGTGCAAGCACTTTAAAAATACGGACTTGTGATTAGAAGTGAAACGATAAGTATTTGTATTGACTTTCCAATGAATGAATAGGTAAATAAATTAATATTAATTGTACAATTTTGGCTACATATGACATTTTTAATAAATTTAAAAATTGACATTCCTGTCCATTTGTAAATGTTTTTTTTAATTAATTTTTAAAAATGTTAATTTCATTGTGTGAAAACATTTGTCACAATAATACCATTTGGAAAAAAAAATCTAGAATGGTCATATTTTTAAAATCTTAAAATAGTAAATTTAAATAAAATTATGATTTTATGATTATAAAGTTAATAATGCATAAGTTTTAAAACAAATATTCCAAATTTCATAGGTAAGTCAATCATTAACAAAGAAACAATTTTATTTCGTTTCAGCTAAACCAAACCCCTTTTTTTATTGACTATAGAAAAGGCGCGTAATATTTCGCGCCAACAATTACCACGTGAACATAGAAGTTGGTATTAGTCTTTCAGATATATTCATTATTTGTCTTTTTGAACAATGTCTGGGTTTGATGATTTGGGAGTATTTTTCAGTGACAATTTTGGTTCTGAAGATCAGCCCGATGATCAACATATCAACAGGCAAGAAATAAAAAAACGATTGAAAGATTTTATCCGTCAATTCCACGAAGGTAACTTCAGCTATAAATATCGGTGAGTTTTAAAATTCGTCTTTGTTTTGTTGATGAAAATTTTTAAAAGCTAAAAAGTAAAAGGTAAATTTTCACAATTTTAAATGAAATGCTTAATCAGCTATTTTTCAAAAATTAAGATTGAAATAAATAGATTGCATTTCTTTTAACGTGATTCTGTATTTAAATTGCTGGTCATTTTGAATGTTTCAAATATCTAATCAATCGGTATTAATTGCTAGTCACCTTTAAAATTAAGGTCTTAAAATAATATTTTTCTTACTATGAGCTGTTGAGAATTTATATTCAGGAATGTTTTGATGCTGAAATAAAAAGTATTAAATAATTATATATGTAAACAAAAATCGTAATAATCGAAACAGCTATCGCGGTCAATGATGTATATTTTTTCTTTTTGAATTTTAAAACGTTTATTTTACCGAAGAACTTGTCCATAAATTTTGTAAACATTATGATATAAAACCAGGCAATTCTTGTTTGTTTCACTTAATAATTTTAAATTACTTTTTTTTTTTTATGCAGTGATTTACTGAAACGACATTACAATACTGGGAATTATTGTTTGGAGGTAAACTTGGAAGATTTGTCCAACTTTGATGAAAGCTTGGCTGAAAAAATCCATAAACTTCCTGCAGAACACATTCCTTTGGTAAGATTGTTTAAATTTATCAAGTGTTGATTTGGTTATTCACGTTTATTTATCTTTTTTTGGGTGAGATCTAACCAATTAAAATAGGTAACTCAACGAAATCGCTAAAAAATAGAGCATAGTCTGCTGAAAAAGACGCCAAAGTTTATGAAAACAAAATTTTATCGTCAAAATGCTTATGTTTTTATGAAGAGGATAGACCAAATTTTTTTTAATTATTTTTTAAAATTTTTCCATCTTTTTTAGAATTTTCTAAATTTTGATTTAAAAAAACCTTGTTTCTCTTTGTTGCAACAAGGGGTAGTAAAAAAAAAAAAGATTTCCTTTTTTTTTTTTTTTTTTTTTTTTTTTAAAAAAAAACAAAACAAATAAAGGATGCAATATTTAATATTATGAAGAGACTGAGTGAAGTTGGTAGATAATTTGAGTGTGCTTTTTATTTATGCTTAGTAAATAGTTTAAAAACATCACCTTGTAACGGTACAAATTAATACAGAATTTTTCAAAAGAAAAGTAACAAAAAAAAAGTTATATTGTAAACAAAAAAAAATAATTACTGGAAAAAAAAAAAACTTCTAAAAACAATAGTGTCCATAATAAATAATTTATAATTATATTCATAAAAATAGTTAATTCTTTCTAATTAAATGATGACTTAGTTTTTACTTTTGTTTTATTACTTTTTTTTTTATTTTACGATTCATAACAGGTGGTCTGTCCTGTTTTATAAAAAATAAGGAAAAGCTTACTACTACAATTCAGTGACTCGTCCTCATCTTACATATTTTAAAAAGAATTTTTTTTTCTTGTGTACCAAATATCAACCCCCATATATGGCATTTATCAAAAAATATGAGCGGCAACTAGAATAAATAAATTTAAAATTTCTAATTTTCTAACGTTTCCTCAACTATTTTCGTAAAGAAAAATGAAAAGTATCTCTAATTTTATAAAATTAGATTACTTAGATATTTTCATCATTTTTAAAAATTACTAGGTAGTTGTTAAAAAAAAAAAATTAGGCAATCACTTTATCTGTCAAGTTACTGTTAAGTATAATTATCCTCATTTAGGTACCTCCACTTAAAATGATTTTTTAAAAATGAAAAAGCTTTCAGTTTTAGCTAGCTTTAATTGAAAACTAAAGAATTTAAAAAATTTTACTATTTTCAGTAAGCAAAATACTCTAGTGTATTTCAAACATTATATTGATCTGAATTGATTTTTATTTTTCAGTAAAATCATTCAAAACAGTCGTTTTTTGACACCTTTGTAAACAAAAGTTAATTCTCAGTTTTAAAAATCTTGCAAAAATAAAATGTATTTCTGAAACGTTATTTGAGGAAAATTAGCACGTTTAAAGTACAGTTCTTAACTACAGGGTCTTGTTTTTCTGATTTTTTTTTAATTGATTTATTGACAGCTGAATCTGGTCATAGTTAAGTATGGTGGAGCACAGGATAGTTCTATTTTATTTTATTCTTTTCTGCAGTGACCTTTTAATGATAGATTGGTCTGTACATCCATACTTCAGTAATTCTGTATGTAATCACATACAAAAACAAATAAAAATTCTTTTAAAAATGTATGGGGTCATCAGATTGTAATAAATTTTACAATGATTAGTAAATATAGTTTTAACAGTATTTCCTAAGAATAATCACATTGAAACTGTTTTTTAAGATTTAAAGACTATAAATTATTCAATTTAAAATTGTAAAACAAAAATTCATCTTTCATCAGACAATATTGTCTTTAATATTTAGTATTCATAAAAGCAATTAAAAGCTTCTAAGTAAAAAAAAAAAAAAAAGTTTGATTGCATTTTTTATTTTTCAGAACAGGTTTTTGGTAAGACTGGGTCTGATTCTTGGAAGAATTCTGCTTTTAACTAATATAGTCACTAAAAATTATCACGTTGGATTTACAAGTTTTCATAAAATTAAATAATGGGAAGAAACGTGTACATCAAAAAAAATTTTTTTTTTTTCAGTAAAAAATAATTTCATTCATTTGTAAATAAGTCCTGAAAATTTCATTAAAACCTGACAATTATTTTGATTTTTTTTTTTTTTCAAGAATTTCTAAATTAATGTTTGTCAAGAATACCCCCCCCCAAGTGAAAATTTGCTTTGTTAAAAGTTTGTACAGCCGCTGATGCAAGAAAAACTTTTTCTTTCCCTCTCAAAATTTTGAGTTTTCTAAAATAAAACAAAAAAAAAATACTTTGATCTTAACAAAATAGTTTTTACATTAAAACAGTTTTCATTACGGTTTTGAGCATATTTTCATCATGATATGCTAAAAAATATTTTTATTCTTCTTCAAAGGAGTATGTTGAGATAGCTAATCAACACTTTGTAAAAACACCCACACCTGTTAAAAAAAACAAACTTTTAGGTTTGAAATACAGCAAGGTATTCTTGCTTATTGGGAATATTAAATATAATCTATTAGCTTGGAAGTAAAACTAAAGTTTCAAGAAAGATTTTTTTATTTTTAAAAATTCATTTTAAACATTGGGCATTGCTTTTCTACCTTAATTCTTAGTTAAGTCAAAGTACAGATTAGGAGACAATCATCTAAGTTCCAAGATATGGTGCCAAAAATCTTACTTCAAACGAGTTTTCATTCATGAATTTTGAAAATAAAAAAAAAATGAAATTTTGTTTATATACTTTATTTCAGTTTGAAGATGCTGTTAAAGAAGTGGCAGATGAGATCACCCAACCTCGTCCTGAGGGGGAGGAGACAGTTCAAGATATCCAGATTACTCTGCGATCCAATGCTAATCCAATACCAATGAGAAATCTGAAGGTAGTTCTTCTACTTTTCAATGTTTTCCAAAAATACACTTGTTCAAAGCTGACATCAATAATCAATAAATTTATCTTAATTTTGATTATAATTTAAAAAAAAAATACTTTCCAAACAACCTGCATTTTGTACTAAAATTCTGTATTACATTAGGACAATAATTTAAAATTTAAAATGTATATTGCAGTATAAATATGTTGGCACTGACTTTGAGGTGGGGTGGTTACTTGTTTGGATTAGGAAGAAATATATATATGGAACTTAGAGTTTAACATTTCTATATTAAATATATTACATAGATTAATCACTTAATAGTAGTGGCCAGTTTGCTACATAAAGTGATACCATTCCCCTTCATTAGTGAAAGCAAATATGCGTGTGCCAGGTGATTTCTTTTAAATATAATCTGCAGTGTTTATTGATATTAATGTCTGAAAAGGTGCCACTACGGCCATCATGATTTTCTAAAAAAAAACTTAATTTTTATGATTTTAAGAGATGTGCTATGAACCTCTTATTTTGGCTTATTTATGCAGCAAATGGGAAACCCTATAGCAAAAAAAAAAACAATTATATACTTACAGTGTTATAATATATATATCAACAAAAATGTATAATTCTGTTTGCATTGCCTAACTCCAGCCAACATTCTAAAGAGTAATGACTATTCAAAATTGTGTGTTGCGTATTTTCTTTTTTCTTCAACAATCATTAAAGAAAATAAAATGTCTATTAGAAATTAAGAGGACAAAAAACAAAACCTTTTCTTTATTCTGAAAATGTTTTCTAAACCAAAGACTTTTTTGGTGTATGTCTTTAACTATAAGAAAATTATGTCCCCCCCCGCCATCTCCTCGCTTGACCATCAGTAGGATCTACTAGGTGTTGGATAAATGATTTTTGTCAGATTACTGATAGTTACTTCAGAATATTCCTTCACAACAACAGCTGATTATCTCACCCCACCTGAAATACCCTCTAAATTGGTCCATAGTGGTTAATAAGAAAAAAAAAAGTTTTGTGCTTCATATTGGAAGATGCACTTCTTGTCTTCATCAGAGCTATAACTGGGGCAAAATGTTGACAGGTTATAAAAAGTGAGATAGAAATGTTTTAGTAGTATTTGAAAGTACCAGCAAAAGTGAGTAGCACCTAATTCCTCAGAATAAGGTCTGAAAGAACATAGTTTGAATTGGGATAATGCAAAGTCACAGCAAAGTTTGGTGTGAATGTTTGAAAAAAAGACATTGAAAGTTCCAACATTTTTCACCTGAAGTCGCTATGTGCTGTAAGATCAAATGTAAACTAGAAAGTCTTTTTCCTGAAAATAGTTAATCAATGTGTACTTGGTACGTCTGACATCAATGTGTGCCTGGTGCGTGTGGCATCAATGTGTACCTGGTACGTGTGACATCAAAATTGATGACAAGAAAGAATGTCTCATAACCAATATGTATTGTAAGTAATTTGCGTTTAATCCAAATACAATTTTGTAATTTAAAATGGTTTGTAGTTAACGTTAATAATTCAACAGTGTACCATTTATAAACACTCCAAGAAAGATATCTATTTAATCCTTATAAATGTTACATATTTTTAACCCAAATTCTTTTTACTCCAAGCGTTCCCAAAGCACAATATTTTTTTGTGTAAACTTTGCAAGGTCTCTATAATATAGTCCATAGATTCAATCTCTAATTTCAGAGTCTGGGAAAGATGGGTATTATTATACACACACACACACACACTAGTTAGAATTTAGTTCTTACTGTGAATTGTCGCTATTGTTTAGGGCTGTCTTTTTTAGAGTTAAAAGTAAAACAATCTTATACATTAGGTAAAAACAAGGTTGTGTAATGGATAATGACTCAGAATTGGCAAGATGAGTTCCAATTTCATTCGGGTTCTTTAGATTCTTTGACATTTATCAGTAAATCATTATTTCCAAAAGATTCTTATGATTTAAAAATAGTTTCTGGCTTTAAGCAACCTGAAAAAAATTAAGCCATAAATTTATATGTGTGTGTGAATAGCTCAAATAACTAGATATTAGCAATCGTATATATGTGTGTTAGTGTGTATACACCGACAATAAAAAGTCGGTCTCATATTTTTGTTGGCTATCAATAGACATAAAGGAAAATTGGTATTTCTTGTGACTGAAATGTAATTCTGTGCACCAAAGTTGTTGGTAAATTGCTAATAAACAAACTAATATCAAAACATCTTCCTTCACTTTAAGTTGTCATTTTTCAGTTTTCTTGAGGAAAATTACCAACTGTTTGATATGTAAAAAGTTGTGTGTTTTTTTTTTAAGTCATCATTATTACACTTAGTTGCTGAGTAATTTGGAGGCGGATAGTGGCATTTTCTTAATATTTAATGGGTGGAAAATCTTAAAAGAAAATCATTTAAAGAATCAAAATTTTTAAATTAATAGATGGTCTTAATAATCTCAAGGGTAGGCCCATAAAAATTACTCAAGGAAAAAAAAACAAACAAACAACAAAAAAACATATCCTGCACATCTATAGGACATACAAGATTATATTCTTAAATATATGACAATGTATTTTGATTGAAAATTTTCATGTATATTTATTTCCATACTTTAATAATTATTTAGATTAAATATTTAGGTGTAAGAGCCTATGAATAAATATTTTGGTAAATGCCATTATGCTTGACTGGGAAAATTGGGATAATAAATTGACTGGGAATTTTCTCTGCTTGATAGTGTCCCAGGGAGCATTGAAATAGAAAATTATATTATGCAGTGGTAACAAGACTTTCGGACCAACTTGTATATAAAGTTGTAGCCTGTGTCTCTCTGTGAATGAACTCCTAGGGTTTTGGCAATAGACATCACCCCCATAACCATATATATATATATATATATATATATATATATATATATTCAGAGACTATATTACCCAGGGTACTTGGATAAGTATATTCCGTTTTGATCAAATGTGGGTCTGTGGTCGGCACAAACCCTCCACTAATTGTCCTGACCTCTGTTCCTGGCTTAAAAGTATTGAACTGAGGAAGAATTGGTTGCTTTGGCTTGAAAGAATGGGAAATGCATTGAATAATGATATGGCACAAGTCCCTAAAAATTGGTAATTTCTTGTTGAAACAACTTTGCTCAAAGCATAAAACAAAGCTTGTATTTGAAAATGTCATCACAAATGTGTAATAGGTATACGTCCAATACTTCACTAAAAAAAAAAAAAGCCTGCCCTGATAATGATTTTTTTTTTTATTTTTATCACCTAAATGTTCCTTGCTAAGAGGAAGGGCCAAAGTTATTGTGTTTTTTTTTTTTTTTTTTTTAACGGAATATTTGAAGTTTACTTAAAGTAATTCAAAAAAAAACATTACTTAATTTTTTTTTTTTAGCAGGAAATACTTATGAATACAAGAAGAATGCCTGATTGGTTTTGGATATGTAAATTGATGTTTGTTAATGTGTTGGTATTTTCTAATTTTAAGTGAACCAGCTTATTTAACTATAAAATTTATTTAACTATTAAAAATTAAGTACTTCCAAAAGTCTAATATTTTGTTGATTTTTTTTTTTTTTTTTTTTTTTTGCAGGAATTTCCAAATTAATGTTTTTGACTAAAGTGTTAAAAAAAAAAACAAACAAAAAAAACAAAATAATACTAAATATTGACCACTGACTTTAAAAAAAAAACAAACTTTAACCAAACTTTCAAAAATACTAGAAAGGATTAAAAAAAAAAATTGAAAATATTTAAATAATTAAGTGCTTGGCTAATAAACTTCTTATTAGTTGACAATGGAATTTCTTTTTAATTTTGTTTTTATCCTCTTAATTGTTTACATGTATGTGTTGTAGGTACTTAAACATTTTGTATTTTGTTGTAGTCTGACCAAATGGCAAGTCTTGTGATGATGTCAGGAATTGTGATTGCTGCATCACTGTTAAAGCAAAGGCAACAAAACTTGCTATTCAATGTCGCAGCTGTCGTAATGTCATAACAAGTATTTCTGTGAAACCTGGGCTTGAAGGTTATTCCATGCCTCGGAAATGCAATACTCAACAGACAAGAGCACCCAAATGTCCTGTTGATCCATATTTCATCATGCCAGACAAGTGCAAATGTGTTGATTTCCAGACCCTCAAATTACAGGAAAATCCTGAAGATGTCCCTAATGGGGAACTTCCAAGACATATGCAACTTTATTGTGATAGGTAAGGATTTTTTTCCTCTTTTCATTTTTGTCTTTTATTAAAATTAAATTCTTTCATTTGTTAATCATTTTTGGTATTAATTAACTATCATGTATACTTTACTCTACTAATTCATTTGGTCAATGTTTTTACTTAAAACTGGAATTTCTTCCTTTAGCAAGGGAGAAAACTTGTGATAATCTTTAAAATTTTCAATTCAGGATGTGAACAAAAAAAATTAGGAATCATTGTAATAGAAATTTTATATGTATATCAGCTTCCTTGGCTTTTTCTTTTTCTCTCACACACATATTCTAATCTGAAGATCGTTCAAGTGTGAAACTAGAGTAACTACTTGGGCTGTCCTTTGATAGTTGATGTGAAGCATTTTTTGCTCTGAGATCCAGGTGTTGAGCCTTTTTCTTTGCTGATTAGGTAGGTGTTTGGCTTTTTAGATGCTTTTTATTTTTTTTTATTTTTTTCTTATAGATTTTTCTCTTAAAGTTTTGGGTCTTTTGTAAAGTTGTCTGTTGGCTTGTCTTGCATATATTCAAAAAATTTTAAAAGATGTACTTGTGTAAGCCTCTCTTTGTTACATTTTTTTTTTTTTTTTTTATTTTTTTATATTAACATTGTCAACATGGAAAGCAAAAACATACTTAGTTAAAAACAAAAGTTGCTAATATTAACAAAGAGGTTTATGCAGCAGGAACATTTAAAAAAAAAAAACTTGAATTACATGTAACTACAAACATTTTGCTTTTGTTTATCACTTGTCTTAATTAAAATTGAATGACAAAATGTTAGTAAAGACTATTTTTCGATTGTCTTTCATTCAATTTGTCTTCTCTACAGATATGTTCTGAGAACTTCTGCATTGTCAACATGGAAAACAAATGCACACTTAGTCAAAAACGGTTTTTATATATATATATATATATATATATGTGTGTGTGTGTGTATCTTATCAAATGCAGATTGTGTGTCTGTACGTTTATATATTGGATCGGGTTTCCTACATTTTTCAACCGATTTCAACAAAACTTCACAGGACTACGTAAAATTACCTTGCGGTGGTTCTGACAGCACCAAAAATTTGAAAAATATAATTTTTTGCACGAAATCAATTTGAAAACACGATAAAACATGATACTATCGCCAGAATGAAAGGGAGACAATTCATATCGAGTTTTACTTATTATAAAACACAGGTTGTGTGTGTGTTCGTTTATATATGGGATCAGATTCCCTACATTTTTCAACTGATTTCAACGAAACTTCACTTTTTTTTTTTTTTTTTTTTTTTTTTTTTTTGGCAGGTAGTGTTTCTTATAGTCTTGCACACTTTTTTCTTTATTTTTTACATTCAGAATGCTTTAAAACTTCCATTTACAAGACAATTGTTTATAATAAAATTCTATTCAATCGGTACTCATAACGATTGAAAACAATTGGATTTGACTAATTCGTAAAAAAAAAAAAACAAAAAATGCGTGTCCATATATATATATATATATATATATATATATATATATATATATATATATATATATATATATATATCTCACAGCTGTTTGAGGGTTCCTTAAATAAAGTCAATTCAGGTCTGCTATAGCAAAAGTAATTTATCACAGCCTATTTTCTCTAAATAAAAATTGGATTTTCATACTTTTATAGTGGTAAGATAAAGTATAATCTTGAAAAATGACAGTTTTGTCATCATCTGAATAAAATATCAAAGAAACTTTTGATCTGAACACTATGAAAGTAGGTATTTTCTGAAAGCAAACAGTATGTTGTTTAGGAATGTCCCACTTTTTCGCTAAAAAAGTGGCACACCCTGATGAAAAAGGGCCCCAAACTTAATAAAAACAACGTTTTATCACGAAAAACTTTGTTATTAATAAGAGTAGAGACCAAAGTATTTTTTAATTATTTTTTTAATTTTTTTTTTCCTTTTTAGCACGTTTTAATTTGTAGCTGAAAAATCACCTTTTTTTTAGGTCTAAGATCACCAGATATTTTGCAATAGCGTTTTTTCACTTAAAAGACACATAAACTTGGAAATTCTTTTAAAAATCAAATAATTGTCGCAATTTAGTGAAATTTTCAAGACTTATTTCGAAATGACTGAATTTATTGTAGAAAAGTTTCTTTTAGAAAACCACAGTACAACTATTTTTTTTTTTCGCTTACTACCCACCTTACTTAAGTTTATGAAAACTGTAAAACTAGATGAGCCGTAACTAATTTTATTTTTTTATTAAATAAAGAAGACTTTGAGGAATATAAATCATAAATTTTCGTATACATTTTTCATACGCGTGAACCTCAATTTTAGCTCTGAATTTACAAAATAAAAATGCAAGAAAACTAAGAGATTATTCTATGAAAACAGCTTTTAATGGATTTTATCAGTAACACATATTAAGAAAATTTTTTGTCTGAAGTCAAATTTTTTTTACGTTGAAAAATAAATTTTTACGAGAATTTTTTTTTTTTTTTTCATTTCTAAATAGTAAATAATAATATTGATAAATATTTCATAAATAAATTAGATCGCCTGTACCTTTTTTTTTTGCTCATTAAAACGATCTATTTTTATAGATTATAAATTACAAAGTTTGTAACAATCTATGATACGCGCGATATTTTAAAATAATTTTTTATGATTTCAAAAAATGTATTAAAATCATCTCCGACAAAACTACGGATGTCCACTTAAGATAAATGAAAATTATGCTAGAGTTATACCCCCTGATTGATTGAACCTATCAGTCTTTTTTGGCATAGCTTTCGTTCTGAGCGCACGTGTCAAATTTTCTGAGTGACTATTGTATTATCGTTGTATTGTCAACAAACTTTTTCTAATTTTGTTAACAAAACTTTTCTTCTAATTTTGTTTTTATATATAATCAATTTCTTCTTTTTCAGTGAGAGACATATTGCAAATATTATTTTTTTTATTATTTTAAATTTAGGGATGGATTCTTTGGGTAGAGAAACGGTTTGTCCGTTTGTTAAGCTAAAAAAAAGTGGCACACCCTGATGAAAAAAAGGCCCCAAACTTAATAAAAACAACGTCTTATCATGAAAAAACTTTGTTATTAATAAGAGTAGAGACCAAAGTATTTTTTAATTATTTCTTGAATCTTGTTTTCCTTTTTAGCACGTTTTAATTTGTAGCTGAAAAATCTCCTTTTTTTAGGTCTAAGAAGATCACCTGATATTTTGCAATAGCGTTTTTTCACTTAAAAGACACATGAACTTGAAAATTATTGTAAAAATCAAATAATTGTCGCAATTTAGTGAAATTTTCAGAACTTATTCCGAAATGACTGAATTTATTGTAGAAAAGTTTGTCTTTTAGAAGATCACAGTAAAACTATATTTTTTACGCTTAATACCCATCTTAAGTTTATGAAAACTTTAAAACTAGAATGGCTGTAACTAATTTTATTTTTTAATTAAATAAAGACTTTGAGGAATATAAATCATAATTTTCAAAATTTTCATACGCGTGAACCCCAATTTTAGCTCTGAAACAACACAAAGGAATTCATAGATGAGATGAACGCTGAGACATTTGAAAGTCACTTGAATAAAAAAAAGCAATGATATTCAGTAGGAAACTGGTTGACCAACGCATAAAGCAAAATCAAGACATCTTAGAGGCATAAATTGCTGACAGGAAGAATAAAAGCAACAGCAACATCAAAAGTCAGAAAGAAACAGCAACCAGAGAAAATTGAAGAAGATTCAGAGCTATAGCATTTTGGCTATTATGGAAAAGTTTCCACTAATTTCAATTGATTTTGCTGAAAATATTCAAAAAATATTGGGTGGTGATGTAGTCAACAAACTGATAGAGCATACTTGGACAGTTGATTTGGTTGATAAGACATTTCAAGGTTTTTTGTAAGTTTTTCAGACCCTAATTTATTATACGAATGAAATCCATGAAGATGAAGAGTATTTGTTAGATAAATATGAATTTGGAGCTGACTATATTATGCGGGACTTGAAATTTTAAATAAAAAACAAAACAAAAAAGACAATGATAACCAGTCCTGGGTATGACAATAAACTACAACCGGCAGCAATGATTCCAAGCGTTGGGTTACAGGTCTTGAGGGTGTGGAACCACCTCTTAGTTGCTGTTGTTCCCAGGTCCCTCTTACCCGGAGTGCTAGCACCTGTTAGGGTCCCAACTATGGGCAAATAGATGAAAAGAAACAAAATACCAATCCTTTTTTAAATTAAACAAAGTCTTATCAAGTGCCACAAAATTTTCGCAAAAAGTCTTATCAAGGGCCACCAAATTTTTAAAAAGTCTCAAATCGATTGCATAGCAATTCATTAAATTCGTCTTGTATTAAAAAAAAATAAAATAAAACGTGTATAAAATTTTCAAATTATAAATGTTGTTTTTATTTCAAAATTATTTTTCAAACGTGGGGTTTTTAAAATGTATTTTTTTTTTTTTTTTTTTTAAATAACCAGGAAAAGTAAATCTCTTCAAAAATGAGTTACGGGTTTCATTTTGAAATGTAATAGTATATTGTTAGTTAATTTGTATCTACGGAAGATCAGAAGTTGAAAACTTGTGTTACGTAACTGAAAAAAATATATGACGTAACGGCTAGGTTTCTAAGTAGAAAAAAAAAAAAAAGAGAAATAAAGTAACTGTTACTTTATTTCTTTTTTTTTTATTATTCAGAACTTATCAATTGTAGGGATTAAAAAAAAAAAATTAATTTTTAATTTCAGACAATGAAAATTTTAAAGTGTAATAATATCAATTAACACTATCGGTAGCGCTAAAAATTGGCGCAATTTTTGTTACTTCCGTTCTACCGTACGATAAATTAGTCTGAGGTAAGCTGTCGATACATTGACATACATCAATTCACACTCGCCAAAAACCGGTTACCATGGTTGGAGATATCTCTTAAAAATTTTTTTCTATGAGAAATGTAAGTAACTGTTCTTTCAAATTACATTAAGTAAGCATTAAATTT